AAAATAAGAAAAAAATATTATCAACCAATAGAGTCTTCTTTGATTTTCAGTTCCCATTGCTGATTGGTCGCACCGTTATGGGACATGAGTTGACTGACGCGGCATTCCACCAATTAGATTTGCTTTATGGAAAAGACGTCTCCACTTTCGCCAATCAGCTCCTGGGAAATGAAAACACACTTGAGTCTCCTCCCCCTTCCCTTCAGTGTGTGTGAGAGCAGGCTGTAGCAGGGCTGATGTAAAGTTGTCTGTACCCGGTTAGCAGTGAATACCTGTCGTCAGCTTTGGAGGTTAAATTCCATATTCTTTAAATATAAAACTAGCGCGTTTTAGCGGGCTGCTGCTGCTGTAACAAAGCCGAAATGGCGACGGAGATAACGAAAGGTGTGGAACAGATCTCAGTAGGTAAGGAAGGAGAGTGAGCTATCTGGTTAGCTAGCTCCCACAGACATGTGTGCCTTTAATATTGCATCAGTTGCAGAGATGTTAGCAGTTAGCCTGCTGTGTAACGCCAATTTCTGATTCTGTCAGGTCTCTGGGATGATATGAGCTAATATGTGGCATGATCACACATCGATCGGCCCTTCTTACCGCTGCAGCACCAATGAAAGTCATTATACAAACGAAAACATTTGCAAGGATATGCTAACATTTAGCCAAGGCAGCTGTCAGTTTGCAGTGGAGAAGCAAAAGGAGGCTGCGGCAGACCTGGATTTGAATATTTCACCGTCTTTTATTTAATTGATCAAACCAATATCTAACCCGTGACTGTATTTCAGTCTGTTTTAATCAAGCAGAAAACTGAAGGTACTTTCGGTTTCATTTCAGGGTGTCACTATGATAGAATTCACACATATGTGGTGTAAATATACAGCAGATTTTTACACATTACATGTAAAGTTCGTGTATCGATAAAAAGCGTGACAGTCTTAGTTTTTGCCATTGCCTATTGTTACCCTGATAGCTGACTATTTTACATGTCACAGATATTAAGATATGATGCAATCTTGCGGATCACATTGCTCAGTGGTATATAGTACGTGTGAAAGGTACTGCATCTCCAAATTCTTCACCAGGACTAAATTCGAATACAGTTTTATTTATATAGCGCCGGTCACCTCATTAGCTTTATATTACAATATTAAAGAGGGAACCCCAAGGATCACACGGTCACTTATGAGGAAGTACTCCCTTTTAAAAGGAACCAGAATAAATGAGGGATGGTGCAAGATGACCTGATCCCATAAGCTTGAACAAGTAAAGTTTGAAGCCTGAACTTAAAAGTACAGAGGGTGTCTGCGTCTTTGTCTGACATTCTTTAGCTATCAGGAAAATCTCCTGTGTAGGAGCCGCTTGCTGAAGGCTCTGTCTCTGATTCCTCTTTTGGAAACATCCTGCAGTCTGAGAACAATGTTCTCTACTAGGATAATTTGGTACTTTGAGGTCTGAGATATGGTGGGGCCTGATTTTGCAAGACTTTATACATGAGGGGCAGAAGTTTAAATTCAGTTCTCGTATAAGAGGGCGCTAACGTGGGAGAAATGTGACGTCTCCTTCTTGTCCTTGTTAGTACTGATGTGTGGAAGTATTTTAAATGTGTTTTGCTCAGAGCATTTTAGTTGTCTTGAATGAAGAGTAGGCCCTGCCTTGAACGCAGGTAAAATCTGAGCACCAGAAACTTAAGAGATTGCACATATTGAGAAAATACTGAGCCGACTGTGCTGGTGTTTCTCAGGTGAGCTGTATGTGTCAGATAAATGTGGCAGCGACCAAGACGGAGATGGCACGGAGCAGAAACCCTTCAAAACTCCTCTCAAGGTAACTTGTTTGTTTACTTCAGATGTGCGTGGGTAAAAATGCTTCAGGCTGCATGGATTGTGGGATGTCTGTCAGCACCTCACTGTGTCTTTGGATCTTTACAGGCTCTGTTGTTTGCTGGAAAGGAGCCGTTCCCCACCATCTTTGTGGAGTCCCAGAAAGAGGGAGAGGTTGGTTATATTTATAGATGATCACTTTAACATGGATAGGAATCCATTCTTTACCATTTTGAACCAAACTTTGCAAGTTTTATTCCAGTACCAGCTGCAGCAGCTGTTTTTACTAACTGTTATTAATGACTGATTCAGTTTATTTTCCTCCTCGACTCCCTCAGCGCTGGGCGGTGATCTCTAAGACACAGATGAAGAACGCAAAGAAGGCTTTTAACCGCGAGCAGATAAAGAACGATGCCAAAGAAAAGAAGGAGGTTTGTGTCTAACCTCGAGATGTATCCTGCAATCAGTGGGTCACACAAAACATTCTACAGATTCATCCGTTTTGTGCTTTTCTCTTTATTGTGACTCCACTGTGTTTGTCATAAAGGCCGAGGACAACGAGAGGAGAGAGAAGAACCTGGAGGAAGCCAAGAAGATCGTCATTAAGAACGATCCCAGCCTGCCTGAGGCTGAAGCAGTCAGTCTTTCTTATTTTACTTTTATTTTGGCTCCTGCTCCTGTTATAAAGTTTGCTTTTAAGTCTGATTGAACTTGAACACAGAAGTTAGCACAAACAGTCCAAAGAACAGCAGCTCTGAATGCAGCCTCATTTCCTGCTCCATATTTTTAGTGTTAGACTCAGAGTAACTTTGCATGATTCACAGTTCAAAGTAAACAGCTTGTTTCGTTTCTATCTGAAATCACTGAATGACTGCATTATGCTTGATTTATGTTTACATTTAATTTGAAATATAAAGCCTGAGCTTTTGGTTGCTTGCAGATTTATAAACCTCCTTATTGGGAACCATTTTATGAGAAAAAATAAGAACAGCCCTCTTAACCTGTTCCTTAAAGTTTCACTTTTTGGTTCTTTACATTCATTTTTAATATTCTGCAGCTGATGCAGCGTTTCTGAATAAAAGACACATACAGTTTAAAAACAAACCAAATAGATTAAGCTGCATTTAACTGGCTTTGTGTAGATAGAAAACAGTTCACAGACGACATTCCTGAACCAGTCGGAATGGTTTGTGTGGAGCGATAAGCTTTGGCTGGTTTGCTGCTGTTTGAATGTCTGAACTGAGCAGCTGAAACACAGAGGTTTGTTTTAAACCCCAAACTAGCTGAACAATCAATAAAAATATAAATATGACTCGAAAGTCTGAATCATTTCACTGATTCTTCTTCTTCCTGGTGATGATTTAAAGATGATTGTTGTCTTTATTTCAGGTTAAAATCCATCGTCTCCAAGAAAAGAGAGGCCAGAGGGTCAAAGTGTTTGGATGGGTTCACCGCCTCAGGAGGCAGGGTGAGGAACACATCAATATAATCAAACAGTCAATCCATTCAGTATTTACACATTCTCATTTCAATTTAAGATTCCAAAGTCAGAGAATTCAAAACTGATGTGTTGCTTCTTATTCATTTATAATATGGTCAGCTGCATTAAAGGGTTAAACGAGGATGTTTCTGAATTATTTTGCATTTAAGAATAATGTCAAAATGACAAACTTGAAATTGAAAGATTCATTTGTAAGTTTAAGATTCTTTACTGACTGTGAAAAGAGAGAAATAAGTAAGATTCAGTTTTTAAGATTGAGCCAAATGAAGTTTTTTAAGAGGATAGAAATAATTAAAATGTTACTTTGAGTCAACATATGTGTATTATTATGTTTTTTTGCTTTTTTTTTTTATCTCCTCCAGGGAAGAACCTGATGTTCCTTGTGCTGAGAGATGGCACCGGTTTCCTCCAGTGTGTCCTCTCCGATCAGCTGGTAAAGCTTCATAAACCCCCATTTTTAACCTTTCTACACTGTGAGCTACATGTTATGGTTAAAAATTTAATGTTCATGTCCTGTCACGGCCAAAAGTTTGGCACCGGTGTGGTTTTTCACAATCTTTGCTGCTTCTGTCTTTATTCACAGTGTTTCTGTGTTGTTGTGCAGAGTGATCAGAGTGATCAGAAACATATTCACAAGCTGCAAAGAGCTCCATGGGATTAAAAAGTTAACTTTGGGTTTTTTGGGGGTTTTTTGGATAAACGTTTAACTGCCGCTCCTAAAACATTTGGCCGTGAATGTAGTTCAAGACATTTCTTTTTATTCTCTATCACCAGGCCAAAGCACAGAATCAAAGATTTAACAAAATCGGTGGGAGTGATTCATTTGAAGTTGGCGCTTTAAAAAGAAGCTGTTTAAATTCTGAAGTTGATTTTGAGTGCAACTCTCTGTTGTTCTTCTCTTTAGTGCCAGTGCTACAACGGCTTGGTTTTGTCCACAGAGAGCACGGTGGCTATTTATGGGACCGTCACTGCAGTTCCTGAGGGAAAGCAGGTAAACTCACCTGCTGCAGAAACCTGCTCTGCCTGTGCATGCTCACAGGAAACTAGGTCACCCAGAGCAACATGTTTACATGCCCCACAGTTCTTCCTGGAATCATCCTAACAAGAAATCACCGCATGACTGAAAGTGTATTTCAGTAATGAGATTTGAGTTTCTGTTATTTTTATCAGTGTACAGTAAATATGTTGTGTTAAACTAATAGTTGAACAGAACAGAAAACTCTGTCTTCTGCTAAAGTCTGAACCATGACTGAGGAACAACCTGAACAATCTAGTAAACCGTCTGTTTCCACTGATGAGCCTCCTCAGGCGTTACAGGCGCTCTGCAGATGCAGGATGGAGATGTTCAGTGAGTTCTCCTCGTCTTCTTTTCTCAGGCGCCCGGAGGCCACGAGCTGCACGGCGACTACTGGGAGCTGGTTGGCTTAGCTCCGGCGGGCGGGGCCGACAACCTACTGAACGAGGAGTCAGACGTGGACGTCCAGCTGAACAACCGACACATGCTGATCAGAGGAGAGAACGTCTCCAAGATCCTCCGAGTCCGATCCACAGTCACACAGTGCTTCAGGGACCACTTCTTCAGCCGTGGATACTACGAGGTGAAGCACAGATTTATTGTGGATGCCAAAATGTGGTGGGGTTGGGTTTGTTTTGTTTTTGTTTCTTCACCTCTAACAAGGAAAGAAATCCCCAAACCTGATGACCTCACTTTTAGTCAGTGACACTCTGTGCCTCTGTCACAGGTTGAGAGCAGTATTGCAGATTAGGAATCAGATCCACCTGAACTGAAGTGAAAAGCTCCTTAGTCAGGTCAAGTCGATGCTGCTGGCCAGATGCAAGCTAAATAGCTTTTTTCCAGTCTTCTTAAAGCAGCTGCTTGAGTTTAGCTGGTCACATATTCCACTTGCAAATATCTGTCTGTGGCCCAAGTTTGTAGTTTTTAGCTGATTGTCTTATCTGGGACCTATTGAAGGATTTAGCCTCTATCAGATAAGAGCCTGGTACTACGTCTTCTTATCAAATCCAAATGCATTCAAATCACTTCTTCAGTTTGTTTATTTGATTACAGATATTTTAGTCATAAAAGTGCAGTTTAATAGTACAGAGAAGTCTCACTGGACAGCTGCTCGCTCAGAAATAAAGTTGGTAATAACTACAAACCGTTATGGTTGTTTTATTTTATCTTGCTTTGTGATTGGCCCGTTTCTCCTTTATTCTGAAAAATATGCAGCAGCAGTAAGTTTGAGTGTTGAGTGTGAAAAGGAGCAGACAGCTCGGCATCAGACTGAGGATCGCTTTGCTCTACAATAATCGTTATTAATTTATTTTTCCGGTGTAGATCACTCCTCCGACTCTGGTACAGACTCAGGTGGAGGGCGGCTCCACGCTCTTTAACCTCAACTACTTTGGCGAGCAGGCGTACCTGACGCAGTCCTCTCAGCTCTACCTGGAGACCTGCATACCTGCCCTGGGCGACACCTTCTGTATCGCCCAGTCGTATCGGGCCGAGCAGTCTCGCACTCGCAGACATCTTTCTGAGTGAGTCGCCACGTTACAGCTTAAAAGCCTTTCTGCAAAGATCTATCATTTACTTACAGTGTTTTTATTATTGTCCTCCATGGTCAGATACACTCACATCGAGGCGGAGTGTCCTTTCATTTCATTCGAGGACCTGCTGAACAGACTTGAGGACCTGGTGTGTGACGTGGTGGACCGAGTGCTCAAATCTCCCGCCGCAGAGCTGCTCTACGACATCAACCCTGTACGTGACGAGCGACAACTTTGTGCTCTTGCGTCATTTTTCTAACTATTCTGGAGCATTTGACCTCATAACATTCACGTGTGGTAGTAAAGTTGATATTTTGTTTGGTGACTATGGCTTTTCCAGAACTTCAAACCCCCGAAGAGGCCGTTCAAGAGGATGAACTACAGCGAAGCCATCGAGTGGCTCAGAGAGCATGATGTCAAGAAGGACGACGGCACCTACTACGAGTTCGGAGAGGTGACGGCTGAACACAGCACATCATTCAGCAGCTCAGCTCATCTTATAAAGTCCCCAAAATGTCTGATATCAAAAAAAATTAATCAAACATATTCCAAACAATTCAAATTCATGAGTGCATACAATCCATTAAACATTCATCAATGTTTTATTAAGTTTTAAAACAGTCCCCTCGATTAAAATGTTACAAATTTTCCAAAAACACCCACATCTTCATTCTTCAAAGTATTATTCACACCAGCTCCTCTGAACGTCTAAGCCGGCCTACACTTGTGACAGACAAACAGGAAAGTGATCTTCAAAGATCCTGTCAGTAGCAGAGAGCTGCGGTTTTCAGAGACGCCTGTAGAGAGCACTATTGTACAACATGCTAAAAAGCTCAGCTGTCAAACTTTGGTCTTTTCAGATGTTCTGCAATCATTTACAAGTTATAAATACAGTTTTCTCCTACCTGAAGAGCTTTTAATTTTGAATATTCATGAAGTCTTTCTTTGATTCTCTCTCTTTCTTTGACTTGCCTGTTGTGTCGATATTTCTCCCTCTGTCAGGACATTCCCGAGGCTCCAGAGAGGCTGATGACCGACACCATCAACGAGACCATCCTGCTCTGTCGTTTCCCAGCCGAGATCAAATCTTTCTACATGCAGCGCTGCACCGAGGACAAACGCCTCACCGAGTCGGTACGAACCTCACAGATCCAGCTGCGGTGTGGCTGAAGTTTAAGCCCCAAAGCCTGGTTAGAGAGGGGGGAGGTCATGTCCTTCACTAAAAGTACAGTTTCTGTGTGAAGAGGAGCATGAACTCTTCACTTCAACCTGAGCATTAAGTAGGTAAAAAGGTAAAGACTTAAAGTATAAGTAAGTTGGTGATGAGTGAGTTAAAGGCTCGGCAGGAGAGTGTGAGTGACCTGTGGTGTGAGAGATGAGGTGTAGAGCTTCACTAAAGCAGGTCATCTGTGACTAAAAACAGTGTTTTATCTTAAAAATAAAGGCAGGACAGCAGAACGGCAGTTATGATACAGCAGCATGTCAGGAAACACCCAGCGGCCTTATTAAGATATGATCAGATATATTCATTAAACACAGTAAAGGTTCAAAGTTCTTTATTTGTCACATGCATAGTTATACAAGTATAACACACAGTGGTCTGTCTCTGATTTACCAAAAAAAAACCTGTGAGTTATCTGGATCCCTCGAGTATCGTATGTTTCTCTGTGCTGCAGGTCGACGTGTTGATGCCAAACGTTGGTGAGATCGTGGGAGGGTCAATGCGTATCTGGGACGCTGAAGAGCTGCTGGAGGGATACAAGAGGGAGGGAATCGACCCGACTCCATACTACTGGTACACAGACCAGGTAAATGAACACTGGTTTGACCTCAGATGTTTGATACATGTTTTGTGCACCTCACTACATCTTTACTTTGTGCAGTTAAACGACTCATGTGGCAGTTAGTTTGTAACGTTAGCTTGAATAAGGTTATCAAACATGCGCTAGTCGACGTTAGCCAGAAGAAAGACAGTTCAGGACTTGGTGACCAAATCCTTGTTCAGCTTTATCATTAGATAACAGTGGTTCTCTTATGGCTGATGCAGTGGCTTCCAAACTTTTTGTCTCCAAGGAACACCAAACAGGAAGTCAAGATTTTAAGGCCCACCTGGAATGAGCCCTAACGTTTGGCTTTATTGCATCACTGCATGTGTGTAGTTGTTGGTAGCTGTGTGTTTCAACAGACTTCTCTGCCTCTGTGTGTGTTTCAGAGGAAGTATGGCACGTGTCCTCACGGCGGTTATGGTCTGGGTCTGGAGCGTTTCCTCACCTGGCTGCTGAACAGACACCACATCAGAGACGTCTGCCTGTACCCGCGATTCATCCAGCGCTGCCGACCCTGAGCGCTCACACGCCAAAACACACACACACACACACACACACGCAGTCAGTACACCCGCATGTGGCAGCGCACATTAAATGAAACAGAATCCATAGTTTGCCCGTGTAGCTTTCATTTCTGAAATCTGAAGAGTTTAAAACTTCATCATGCAACTCCTCAGAAACAAAGTCGGACGCCAGCTGTGCTTCACCTCTAACCTTCACAGCTTCCTCCTGTGACTTCAAAAGTGCATCTGATCATGTTCAGTGTCTGATTATTAAACCAGAAATAAACAGTTGTTTCCTGTAAGTATCTGCTTCTGAATGTTGCAAAATATTAGCTCAGTCCACCTTAAATTCTTTGTTTTTCTTCAGGAAATTTGGCTTTAAACATTGAACTTGCAGCCACGACATTTACTAAAATAAGTCAGCCTTAAGAATATTTCAGGTGCTCCTGAACAGAAAGCTGAAAAATATGAATCAAAGAATAAAACAAATCCACTTTATTTCTGAGACTCTTCGGTGCATCCTCCTGAAGTCTGGACTCAGGAGAAATTCACAGCCTCAGCATTGCTTCCCCTGCACATGGTCCTGGGAACATTTTCTCAAAACTGTTCGTCATTGGTGGTTTAGAAGTGTGACATACTGTACGTGTTGGCCTCAGGGGGTATTATTGTGTTTCTGTTCTGCCTCTTCATCTGAAATAAATAAACTCTTACTCGATCAACTGAACTTAAATAAAAATATGATTCAGACGTGGCTGCTTCTGGCTTGTGTCCTTTTTTTTCTCCTTTTAACCGTAACAAAACCTTAATTATTTAACCTAACAAACACTACAGGACATTCTAATGAAAGATATTTTATATTAACTATTTTTTACTAAGTTCACACAACATCTGGCCCCATAACATGCTCATCATCTTGCGAAAATCTGTGCCTTTTGTTGCTACTCCACCTGCTATTTGTAAAATCAGCTCCAATACCGCCCCTACAAAGTTCCAACAAAGCAACACTTTAAGATGCCATTTTTGCTCCTTCCAGGCCGGATACTTTGACAAAATCCTCGTAGACATTTCATCAGATCAGCTTGGTTTTTGGGCAGATCAGTCTAAAGATCACAGTGATGCTATATTGCAAAGCATTTGAGTTCATGTTGGAGGGCATGTCCATGGCCCTATTTATCTTATGTCAACCTTAGGACTGATGTTTTTGCACCAACTTTCTTTTGATTGGCTGCTCCTCACAAAACAGAAGGAAATTGCAGCACTGCAGTTCCACTTATGACCACTAGAGGTTGAGATAATCCAACACTTGCTTATAAAGCGAAAGAACCCAAATGGCGACAGGTTGCGTCTGTGAGAACTCCCCATCTGGCAGCTTTTGTTTTTTTCTTTGTGTTTTTGCTTAATTTAACTTCCTCTTCTTGTAAAAATGATTTTTAAGGAAGAAGGAAACATGATGCAAACTGGAGAAACTGGTATTATTTAAAAGGAATGTGGGCCATTCAAACACGAGCTTCTGATTCAAGGAAATAGTTTTCTTTGAGCTCTTTAGTAGGCCTGATGCTGTTTATAACACACTTCTATAGCATTTTAATCCCTTATTTAATTAGTTTGATTACCGGGAGGTTGTTAGGCAAATATTTGTAGACGCTTTAAAAAAAAACCCATCAAAACACATGGTCTGACAGAGCAAAGCAGTCGTAACAGGCTGTTTATAATCAGCATTGTAAGCCTTTGGCCACTTTTGCACCAGAAAGTGCAGCATAAAATACACAGCAGGTCAATGAACATGTGAAATGTTAATTATGAATAACTCATAATTAAATGCAGAGGGGTGTCAGGTGATCAGGTGTGTCACAATTATAGAGCACATTGTGTGTTTCACTTTTTCTGTTTAAATTAACGTTTCTCTTCTAGTTTCCAGCTCTGATTAAACTCTGATACTTTATCTCCTAACACATGTCTCTTAACACGCCGCGTGTGGGCGTGACCAGCACGGCCGTGGGCGGGGTCCTTTAACGTTAAGATGACGCCACACTGAGATAACGATTCTACGTTAAGCGCGCCACGGTAACAAAGCAACAGACCGGAAATTGACTCAAGCTATTTCTATAATAAAAGCACGTGTTCTTTTTCTTTTTTTTTCTCAGTTTAAAGCAAAAACAAAATAGATATCGAGCAAAGGCCTTGTACAATGCAGCTTACTATCCGTTTCTATATATATTTTACAGTCATAAATACAATGAGAAATGTGAAATATATGTTCAGTTTAATTTATTCAATTATTTTTTGTATACTTACCTTCTTAAATCCCAAATAGTTGTAATTAGAGTAAAATAGTTCACTAATCGCTGGAACTGACATGGTTTTCTACAATTTGTGTAATTTTCTTTTGTATGACTTTGTATTTTTCTTTTTTTCTTCCTTTTATAAATGTTGTTGTTATTTATTTATGTATTTATTTACAATTTTACCTGTAAAAAGCTTCAGTGTCACTGTTTTTCTTGTTTTAGTTTTAGTTTTGATTGATTTTATTTTATGTTGTGTTTCATTGTCTTTATTCTAGATTGTCTTAAAAAATATCTTAAATCTTAAAAAATATAATAGTGACATCCTCTTATGAGGGAATTATCCAGGACACATATTTTAGTTTTTAAAGCGTTTAAACATATTTTAAGAAGATATACAAGTGAAATCTAATGAAAAAGATAAATTTACATCAATGCAGTTTTTGTAACGTTTAGCTCGTGTTAGATTTTGTTTCGAAACTCTAAACCGGAAGTTGTTTTTCATTAGCTGTTATAACTCTTAACGGAAGTCCGTACAGGCAGCCGGCGGTAGCTGAAGGAATCTGGCTGTGGTGTCGGATAGTACCGTGAGTTACTGTGGATCCAGCAGCAGAGAGTACCAGTATCCAGCCTTAATCTTAGCAGGCGCGGAGACGTTTTTTGCGTCAGTGAAAGCGAACATGATGGCAGCCCTGGGCAGCGCCGGTCGTTTGATCCAATGTGAGTGTGATTGCGCCGCCAAGTTAGCCTGAAGAGAAAACTTCCAAGTTTTACTGGTTTTCTGAGGATTTTATGTCAGGGCATAAACAGCATCACAGCGCTTATTTTACACAATTTACGGTCACTGAATAATTTTATTTTTATTTGCCAGAACCTCAACAGCACGCTTCTGACATTGACATCAATATTTTGTAAATG